TACATTTGAATATTCAAGGTTTTGATATATTTCGAGCTTTTTATTAATTTATCAATTTTTAAATTATGAAGCAAAATTCGATCATTCATTTTTGAATTTTGTTGTGGCACGCCTACTGAATCAAGCCAGTTTCCAAAAATTCTGCTGGAAAATATACAGTCTGCCATATATATTTGTTTCTTCTCAAAAACTTTTGTTCCTTCAGATTATAATATTTTTGCTGTTTCTACAAGCCATTCATGAACTAAATACTGTGTTACACACACACAGTATTTAATTATAGGGAAATATTTCTACAATGAGAATAATCCTACAAATCTGATTTTGCAAAGTAATTATCTATTTTTTGACAAATCTAGTTTTATCGATGGTAACCTTTCCGTCGGCAATATCTAATAATAGTTTTAAAAATATTTCAGCGGATAGTGCGGATAAATTTTAGCTTTTGCATGAGGTCATAAAAGTCTTGATCAAAATTCAATCAACGACGTTCATACAAAAAACTATAAATTGATTAATTATCGAGCTAGATAATCAAAAAAACAATTGGACTGTTAATATTATTATTATGAGAAATAGGGATTTATTGTGGTACGGTGAAAATTTAGTTAGTTAGTGTTTTATATATTTTTGAATTTTACATTATATAATATTACAACTCCCAAATTAAAAAAAAAAGTTTTATGTACAACTCATGTTAAAAATAAATGTATGAAAAATATTATGTACAGCTCATGTTTTGTATCAAAATTTAAGATCTTCCATTACAGAAGAAAATTCAAATCTAATTCTAAAAAAAAAATTCGTTGTCTGATTTGAAATAAAAATTTGTGGTTGTGGCTCCATATGTTCTTTAGTCACGAATTAACTAAAATAAATGGACCAAAAAATTAAAAAAAAAATCTTAGGTGCAGCCAACTTGTGCATCTTGCTTGGTATCTAAATATATGTTGTCTGATTCTCAGTAATACTAAATGTCTGTAATTTAGGATAATAATTTGTAAAACATTTTTTACAAAATATTACCTCATAGATGCCTGCATCTGAATTTTGAAGTGCTAAAACTATTGTGTGCATCGTCGATCCGTACGTTTCGAGAAACCTTCGTATCGTTCCTAAAATAAAGAAATTTAGATTAATATATTATATATTATCAATCTATCAAATAATTACCAGCATTTAAAAAACTATTGAAAAAAATGGAAAACCATTATCGATGAGTAACAAAAATATGAAGAATGTAGTGATTTTTTAAATTTACATGTTTCGCATTTATGTTTATGTATGCAAAAATCATTTGCTTGCTCATATTAAATTTGACCTACATATGAGAATTAATAAACAAATTAGTTACGATAATATCTTTGGTCTGATTCAATATACTATACATATATGAATGTAAGAGTATATAAATCATTTGTACTATAACATTTGATACAATGAATAATCTTAACGACTTTCAAAACATTTATTCAAGATAATTGTAAAGTGATAAAATAACATTAATGAAATATTCTCCGTTCTAACAATCGAATAGTATTGAATAATATTTAAATATTTGAATATAGATTTATCTGCTTTCACATTATATAATCCAGATAACAGTAAAATATAATAATGTAAATAGTTATGAAGCATCTACAGTCTAACATCTAACGTCTAATTTTTTGTCGATTTCAATTTAAAATCCTTTTAGAGGCAGTCGCATATCCTTCAGATATGTTGACTGATTTTCAACACATAAATCTATAAATTTTTAGTTTCAATTCTTTGATAAATTATATTAGTCATTTATGAAATTAATAAAAATGACTTACTCAAAGCCACGTGTGCTCCTTGATCGGGAGGATAATTTTTCTGGACGGAATTGATGACTGGAAGAGCTATGGAATGTAGACCTAGTTCACGGGATTTATGTAATACACTTCTGTAAAACCAAAATAAAAATATAATTATCATTTCCATTTATTTTATGAACTAGTTAATAAATAATATTACAAAAATGCACAAAAAATATAGAGTTTTTTAAAATGCTATCAAGAGAACGTCGTGGACTTCTAGAGTAGCAGGATCAGAAAGTATAACAAAAAATTCAGATTTTCTAAATATAACATTAAGTTTGGACAAAATATCAGAATGACGTCCAATGAATGTTCAAAGGATATCTATAATAAATCATAATCAAATAACAAAAATGATTTAACAAAAGTGAGCGTAGACAAACCATCTAATCAAGAAGTACCTAAAAATATTCAAATTAAGCGCTTTCAAATTGAATGGATAATTTTGCCTGATCTAATAGATTGTTGTTTGAATAACTTCAATATAAACTAAGTGAATATATATTTTATTTAACATTTTTTTACCTGTAACAGGAGTGCAAAGTGTTTTCTGCTGCTGTTTGATATTTCACATTGAATTTGGGACCCACAGTATGTATGATGTATCGAGCAGGTAAATTGTGTCCTTGGGTCAATTTTGCTTCGCCTGTACGACATTCTAAAAAAAAAAATGGAAAATAATTATATATTAAAATTTCAGTCATATAATGATCAACTTGCAGATTACCAGAAAATAGCTTAAATAGGATTAAACAAAAATATTTCCTGAACGACATTTTAACTGAATGACTCGTTTTCTATCCCAATTCAAAACTAGTGTATTAAGGGTTTTTTCTTAATCAATACTAATAGATACCTATATGTCATTTGAATTCTTGTAAGATTTTTTTATGTAAGTAATGTAAACAGTACACTATCAATTATAGAAAGTGCATGACTTGCTAAGGAAAAAAAAAGATAAATTTAGCACTTAAGTGCAAGTTCCATAGAATAAATATAATAGAATTACATAGAGTACACATGCAGCCCTAAATTTTCTCCCTCCTACTACAAACCCCTATTTGGTAAAAAGTACTTTATTAAGCGAATAATTTAACATGTAGTAAATTAATGTTTTTGACTTAATTTTTGTTCTGATTTTCTTGAATTTATGAAAAAGCTTAAATTTTACTGAAAAAAATTATCAAGCGTTGTTCAACTCGAAAACTTTATTGAAGGAGTAAATTTTCTTTAATTTAATTTGTCTTACGTAAAATATAGAAATACATAAAACTTTAGTATTTCACTCCTTTTTTACAATTCCCTATTTCATAATAGTCAATTTAGAAGTCCAATCATTTTTCACATATCCCGAAAACTGATCAATTATCGTCTTTTTTGTGAATGTCTTTTATTAAATTTTGACAAAGATTTTTTTGAGCTTATTGAAAATCTTTTGAAACAATTCCTAGATTTTGGCAACGGAAAGGTTACTATCGATAAAACTAGATGCGTCAAATAATCTGATAATTTATATATAATTTTCAATAATCTGCATAAACTGATTTGCAGGATTATCTCATTGTAGAAATAATTTTCTATGTGCACAAAAAGCACATAGTTTTTGAGTGTCTTCCAGAAGGAACAATTTTACCAACAAATATCTTGATATCTTGATATCTTGATGATAAAACTATTTTGGAGAGAAAACTGGAGTGTTTGATTATTCTCAATAATTCAAAAATAATTAAATTATTATAAATCATGGCAATAATCTATAAACCTTGAATAGGCAAATGTGCCTATTCAATTTAAACGAAATCAGTTTCAGGGAGGGAAGTGCCTAGTAAGATATCTCGTGTATTTATTTTTTTTCTAGGTTTTCAAATTGTGAACGCACCCTGGTATATTACAAATCACACTCTACATAAAGACTTAAAAATCAAAACTATTAATGAAATGAAAAAAAAGAGAAAAAAATACCACGAGAAATTACCATGTCACCCAAACAAATATTTAAAATAATTAAGGAATCTCCTAGGAAGATTGAAAACAAAAAGGCCATACGATCTTAAATAAAATGACAA